CTTCCATTATTATAATAGGGTACCTATGATTTCATTGTTTGACAGCTTCATGTGAATATCGACCCTTGAAGTGGTACTGTGAATTTCAATGTTTTTTATAAGGATTACATGCTTGAATGAAACATTTGTTGTCATAAAGGATTACGTAACTGAAAGAATGTAAATATATTGCAAGGGTTTTTATCAGTGAGACTGCCTTCACAGAATTAAAGAATTGTTATTAGGTAGAAGGACATTCAGCCCATCATATCAGCAGCACATCTCCAAATGAGTATTCCAAATGACTACTGCTATTCTCCTGCTTTCACTTGGCAACCCTACATACTGTTACTTGAAAAGGAATCATTTAATTCGCCTTGAATGCCTCTATGTAACCTACCTCAATCAGACTCTCTGCCAGTGTATTCCAGATCCTAATCCCTTGTTTTGTGGAAGAAAACTTGTTGATCACATTATTTTTGCTTCTTTTACTAATCATTTTAAAACTACACCCACTCATTTGCAACCTGTTCACAAGTGAGAAAGGCTAATTTCTCTGTCCAGACCCTCAGAACTTTGAATTGTTCAATCTGACATCCTCTCACCCTTCTCTTCTCCAAAAACAATCCCAGTTTCTCCAATACATCTCCATAACTGAAATTCTTCATTTCTGTAATCAATCTCATAAATCTCTTCTGTGCTCTCTGTAATGCGTTCATATCCTTTCTAAAGTTTGGTGCCCAGAAATGGATCCAATACTCCAGTTGAGCTGAACTAGTGATTTGATGTGGAGGTGCCAGTGTTGGACTGGGGTGGATAAAAGCAAAAATCACATGACACCAGGTTATAGTCCAACAGGTTTATTTGAAATCACAAACTTTCGGAACGCAGCCCCTTCGTCAGGTTCAGCGAGAGGAGAGCACACAGACACAGAGTTTAGAGGCAGAGAGATCAAAGGATCATACAACTGGTGTGAGAGTGGAGAGAATGGCTGACTGACTGCCTCCTGTTAAATCTTTAATCATTCATACATTCCTGCATTCTAGAAATTGCAGAAGCAGGATATGGAGAACTCTGTTAGTTTTGATTGATTATGATGCAAATTCCTGTTTCAAGTCACTACCCTGAGATAATTAAAGATTTCATCAGCGTCTGCCTAAATTTTTAAACTTCAAATGGGCAGAGTGATAAGAATACATAATCGGTGACATCTCAGGTCAGACATTGAACTATAGGTGTGAGGCCTTGTCCAGAGTCTGTCTCAGAGTTTTAACCTGCAATCAGGCTGGTTTTGTTCAAAAGTAGGAGTTTATAAAATGCCACACTGACTGATTATTACTACCAGTTGTGTGTTTCTTGAACAAAATAGAATGTATCTGCAAATGAACTAACATCTTGGATGAAATGATTCACCCTTCGGTGGGTGTCTGTGTGCGTGTGCGTGTGTGTGTAGTATATGCGTGTGAGTGAGTGTTTGTGTAAGAGTATACGTATATGTGTGCGAGTGTGTGCAAGCGTGCATGTGCAAGAAAGTACAATAAGTAATCCACAACTGTACAGACTAATTAGAGAGATCATCAATATTTATCAAGGTGATGCTGTCAAAACAGGACTGTAAGGAACATTTTACAGACACAGAGCAGTGTGCTGGAGTCATCTGCAGTGTGACATGAACCCAAGATCATGGTTGAGGCTGTCTTCATGGGTACGGAACTTTTTTTTTCCATTCATTCACAGGATGAGGGTGTTGCTGGCTAGGCAGGATTTATTGCCCATCCCGAATTGCCCAGAGGGCAGTTAAGAATCAAACACATTGCAGTGGGTCTGGAGTCATATGTAGGCCAGACCAAGTAAGAATGGCAGTTTCCTTCCCTAAAGGACATTAGTGAACCAGATGGGCTTTTCCTGACAATTGACAATGGATTCACAATCACTGTTAGATTCTTAACTCCAAATATTTATTGAATTCAAATTCCACCATCAGCCATTGCGGGATTCGAACCCGGGTCCCCAGAACATTATCTGGGTCTTTTAATTAACAGCCCAGCGATAATACCGTTAGACCATTGCCTCCCCCCTGGCTATCAGTTGGCTATCAGCTTCTGCTCGGTGATTCTGCGTTGTTGTGCATCTCGAAGGCCACCTTGGAGGATGCTTACCTGAAAATCAGAGGCTGAATGACCTTGACAGCTGAAGTGTTCCCCCACTGGGAGGGAACATTCCGGTCTGGCGATTGTTGTGTGGTGTACATTCATCTGTTGTCGTAGTGTCTGCATGGTCTCGCCAATATACCATGCCTTGGGGCATCCTTGCCTGCAGCGTATGAAATAGACAACATCGGTCGAGTCACTTAAGTATCCGCTGCATTTGTGGTGCATGGTTGCCTCACATGTGATGGTAGTATACATTTTGAAGATCTGACATGTCTAGCAGAGGTTGCCATGGCAGGGTTGTGTGGTGTTGTGGTCAATGTTGTCCTGAAGGCTGGGTAGTTTGCTACGAAGAATGGTCTGTTTAAGGTTAGGCAGTTGCTTGAAGGCGAGAAGTGGAGGTGTAGGGAAGATCTTGGCAAGATGCTCAACGTCATTGATGACATGTTGAATGCTGTGAAGAACATGGCGTAGTTTCTCCATTCTGGGGAAGTACTGGACGACAAAGGGTACTGTAATCGGTCATATCCAGTGTCTATCTTCTGAGGAGGTTGCTGAAGTTTTTCACTGTGGCACGTTGGAACTGGCTATCGATGAGTTCAGCATCATAGTCCATTCTTAGGAGGGTGTCCTTCAAAACCTTCAGGTGTCTGTCGTGTTCCTGCTTATCTGAGCAGATCCTGTGTATGGTAGGGTTTGTCCGTAGGGGATAACTTTTTTAGTATGTTTAGAGTGGAAACTAGATAAGTGCTGCATTGTGAGGTTATCTGTAGTCTTGAGGTGGAGTGAGGTACTGAGGTGTCCGTCCTTGATGGAGATGTGTGTGCCCAAGAATGAGACTGATTCTGAAGAGCAGACCATGGTAAGTCTGATGGTGGGATGAAACTTGCTGATATCACTATGTACAGAGATAGTAGGAACTGGAGTGTAGTGCTGGAGAATGTGAGATAACAAGGTGTAGAGCTGGATGAACACAGCAGGCCAAGCAGCATCATAGGAGCAGGAAAGCTGACATTTCTGGTTGGACCCTTCTTCAGATATCGCTATGTAGTTGTTTCAGTGATTCCTTGTCATGACTCCAAAGGAAGAATATGTCATAAATGTATCTAGTGTATAATGTTGGTTGGAGGTCCTGCGCAGCAAAGAAGTCTTGTTCGAACTTGTGAATGAAAATGTTGGCATGTTGGGTGCAAATTTGGTCCTCATGGCTGTTCCGTGTGTGTGGATGAAGAACTGGTTGTTGAAGGTGAAGACTTTGTGTGCCTATTGATAAAGGCTTGGATAATTTATGTTTACTAACTGCTTTCTCAATCTGTCCTGCAATTATTAATGATTGATGCGAATAAAATCCAAGGTCCGTCTGCACCTGCACTCCCCTGTAACCTAAAATGAAAGAATTTTACAGAACAGAAGGAGGCCACTGCCTCATCGTGACTGTTGCACCTCAGAAAAGAGCTAACCAAATCGTCCCATTCTCCGTCCGTATCTCCGTAGAACATTAAATTTATCACTTTCAGATATATATCCAGCTCTCTTTTCAAACCTCACATTGACCATTACCCTCTTTCCTACCACTCAGTCATTTTTTAAGAATCCTTTTTTGTTAAAAACAATATCTGCAATTGATATTTGTACATTGGATTATATTTGTCACGGGCTGGCACTATATCAGCATATATGCTACAAAGGGCCATAGGTGTGTGTTAAGGGCATAGATTGAAATGGGTAGAATGAGGGGTGCTGCCTGGCTCATGTTGGGATGGAAGGTATGGTTGGTTATAAATGTGGGTAGGGACAGGAGGTTACATGGACTGAAATGGACGGGCATAAACAGCATGTGAAGGTGAGGTGAGCTGGTGTGGGAACTGCAGGGAAGCTTTATATTTTATTTTACTTCTAAAACTTCAATATACTGCTGGAATACTGAGGCAGGTCTTAACCACAATCCAGCACTGTACCCAGTGGGAGCTTCTGCTCTCAGAATCACAGAAGTGTTATGGCACAGAAGGAGGCCATTCAGCCCATTGTACCTATACCTCATGTTCCTTTGGACTCCCTGACTCCGAGAGAACCCAGTCACTCCAGAATTAAAATTCCCAATTCAGGGGCTCCTTGTGCTTGATTGGGTTGACAGAGGCAAGATCTGTCCCAACAATGCGCTCCTTATGCCCAGGTGAAAAGCCAGGCTGAAAAGTTCACTTTTCACTGTGTTAAAGATCAAAAGGTGGTGGGTATTAAACATTTCATTGATTACCTTGATTTGCATTTAAACTACGTGATTTTGCAATTTCCACAGTTCATCAGAAAGAGCCTCCATGTCCTTTGCACATTGCTTTAGGGAATGTCAATTTCTATACATTCCAATCAGCCATTTCAGGATAGAACAAACTACAGCATGGCTTGCATTCTATAAAACTAGTGAGTCCAAATGTACTCATCTTTGCTCAACTGATCAACATCTGTTGGCTCACTGTACAAATACAGAGGGAAAATGGGATCAGGAAGAACCGTATACCAATGATGTCTGCAAAAGCAGGAGGAGCAAACAGGAAGAGGGGAGATTCAGCAACAGAATATTTCCGTTTTATTTCACCGCAACCTGAATCTGAGTACAATGATTCAGGGATAGTGCCAGAGGGCAAAATTTCATTTTGACACCATTGAATCATAATATTAACATTTCAATCACAAACTGCATTTGTTTAAATATTATCCAAATTACAGCACTAGCAGAAATCATTTGACTGCTCAAACCAATGTTGGTGTTAGCTTCCTGATGTTCAGTCATGTTGGCTTACATTGTCCCAGTATGAAGCAATTGAGCTACTTGCTGAAATACAGATATCTTTACATAAACAAAATGTAACCTACCTTCTTTCAATCTTTTCTCAGTTATGGTTTTTGTAGTGTTCATTGCCTTGTAGAGGAAACCACACAAAAAGCTGGACTGTGAGTTATTAGAAAGGATGCCAGCTTTAGACAGTGCATCAATCTTCGGAAGTACTACGGATAAACAACAAATAAACAATGTTCACAACGGACTCAAATAAGGACTACGCTCTCATAAAGTGTGCTTCCAAATGTAATGCATTTTTAACCTTTATTAAACCTTTGTGACATATAAAGCAGGGGCACGTCATTATTGGTCCTGTACTCAGCAACAGTATCAAAGTTACAACTTGTAATAACCCACAGCTAGTATTCGTAACGGTGTTAAATTCAAACTTTTTACCCATTTCTAAGTTTGAACAAGTTATGTGCAAATGTTTCTATCCTGATGATAGAACTTTGCTTTGGGTTATCAAAGCTCCCTGCCTCCACAGGGATTACTTTTACAGAAGAAAACTGTGGTTGGCACAGGCTGAGTCTTCTCACCCCAATCTTAGTGAGCCTTCTCTTAACAAGCACCGAAGTGTCGCATAGGAGCATAATTTGACAGGGTGAGTTTTCTAAGTATAAACACGATGGTGTGCATTAAGTAGCTCGAAAACAGTGAGTGATTATTGTTAACCACCACAGCTGTATTATTTTCATAGATTATTGGCTATTATTATCACATATTGCAAAAGATGAAAAGATGTTTGAAGCAACCCAGCAACATGTCAATTTTTTTTGTAAAAGTTTTGTACAAGGGAATGCCACTTTGTCCTCAGTGCATTACACATTTATTAATAGAAACAATCAATTCTCCAGCAAACAGAGTGTAAGTCTGAAAAACAGCCCAATTGACAGCCTGAAGACCTGCTACACAAGGTCATTGCCAATGTTAGATTGAGTCAGCAGAGAGATAGTAGAAGTCTCCCAATTGCAATGGAGTTGAGGACATAAGGTGAGGGCGCAAGAAAGCAAAAGATGGTTGCGGTAGAAACAGAAACCAATGGAGAATTGCAGTGAGTTTATTTAAGTTTGAAGGAGCCCCCTGCTCCTGGAAACATGGTCTAAAGAACAGTCACAATGGACTCAAAACGCTAATTCAGTTTCTCTCTCCACAAATGCTTCTAGACTTGAGTTACTCCATTTTTTTTCTGTTTTACTTTCAGAGTTCCAGTTTTTGTAGCATTTTGGATTTTATGGAAAGGTACTTGCTTCATGATTTTGTTTTAAGCTGCTGAGTTTTCCAGGCACAGACAACCCAAGTACATGCTGTTAAAAATAGAATAACAATCAAAATTAATGAGACAAACCGGTTTCCCATGAGTCAGTTTGGCTGACCATCATTGTCATTGTCCTGCCTCCATTTGAACTAGAAGTGGGCAGATTCAAGATTTATTGGTTTCTGTTTCTGACATATTTGTTTTGCGCCTCTGACTAGCTGTGACCCACTCACTTTCGGGAGTCAAAATTCAACCCTTAGTTTCTTGGTAGGTCGATAAATCACTACCTTTCTCTTTCAAAAGATGAAGACTTCCAACTTAGGCAAATTTTATATCATCTGTTAGAAGAAATATCAGGCTTCATCTACCTACATCTTAGAAATATTTAAATGTGTTTAATTAATTCATTAAGAATTGTAGACCTGACCAAATACAGGCAGTCTCCAGGTTGCTAATGGGTTTCATTCAGCAGTCCATTTGCATGGTGATTTGAATGCAAGTCAGAACAGAAAGCAGGATAACGTAAAGCAACCATTCATAAATAGAGAAAATGACTGTATGTCGGATCTTTAACATTTTAACCTTGTACAGGATTGTGTTCGTAAATAACTGCATTTGGAAATCGGATGTTTGTAAATCAGGGACCCCTGAATTCACAAAATCAACTTCACAGCTAGCACGAAAAAATATATGTTCACTCTCAAAGTACAGACCATTCTGGTTGCAGGCCACAAACAAAGTTTTACCTGAGAGTTTATTATGGAACAGAAACTCCATTTGTAATCGTTGGCCAGCTTTCTGTGCCAACAGGTAAGGGGTACAATAAGTAGGTTCTCCTGTTGCACACATGACATCTGCCCCACTGAAAACAAGTGTCATAGTCTCCAAGATATCCTGTGTCACAACAGCTTGACATAAAGCCTGGATGTGTAAATACAAAGATGGAAACATGATAGCAAAGAGTGGAATGGCATAAATACAAGATTAAGTTAAAAATTACAGGTAGTTCATCTTGATATGTGAATATGCATTATCCTTCAATCAGAGCTTTGAGCACAACACACACAATGCCATGCAATGGAACATCTGCAATTTTAAGAATTTTTATGTCAGAAACTAATTTAATCTCACATAAGTGATTTAAACCAGGGCACTATCCAGTTTCTGTTATGACCATATCATCCACTATGAGCAGAAAATGCTGTAAACCCTGCCAGTCAATGATCATGGAGAGGACACATAAGCTACACTTTTAATATGAAGGCTTTTCTTCAATGCTAAAGGAGATCTGGATGGACATATTAAAACTTTGGCCTATATAGTCTCCAACTACAATATCCCTATCACCCTTCTCTAGTCTGTCTGCGCAACATTTTTATTGAATTCCACTCCTTTGTTTAAATTAAAAAGGTGACAATGTTGGAATCCATATCAAGCCCAAATATGCCTATCTACTTGAAAAGGCACATTAAAATATTATGTCTGGTTCTAGAGAATTCAGATTTTGCTTTGCATGGATTTATGGGTGTGTGCGTGCTGCTTCTTGATAACATTCTGCTTTTATTTCCCAATCCGCTTCATGTATTTCGGCTTTTGATAACCTGTGCCTGCAGCATGAAATTTTCCCTTCTCCCCACACGCCACTGTGCAAATGTTAAGGAGAGGCTTTTTTTTTGGATCTTAAATATGGTGAATATGATTTTCCAAAATAAAGGTAATAATTCTACAAATTGAGAGTTTTCTTAGTCAATTTATTAAAATTAACTATGTGGTCTGTTAAAAGTTAATATATTTTAATTAAGCCAACAGAAAAGATTTTTTAAAAAATCAGCTCAGGCTACGCAATATTTAGACTGCTTGACTATTTGTTTTTGTTTCAGTTTTTTTTTAAATTATTTATGGGATGAAGCCATTACTGCTAGGTTAGCAATTATTGCACATCCCAGAGGATAGTTAAGAGATAACCACATTGCTGTGCTTCTAGAGTCACACGTAATCCAGATCAGTTTAGGACAGCAATTTCCTCCCTAAACGATATTAGTGTGCCATATAGGATTTTCCTGACAGTTAACAATGGTTTCATGGTCATTATTAGACTCTTCATTCTAGTTTTTAACTGAACTCAAATTCTGCTGTGGCATAATTCAAAGACAGGTCCCCAGAATATTACCTGGGTTTCTGGATTAACAGCCCAGTGAAAACACCACTAGTCCATTGTCTCAGCAGATTTTCAGCAAGTCTTATTTATTTGTCTCAAAGAAGTTTTAACAATGAGTGGTGCAACAAGAAAAATGTCCTCTATTTGGATGTAAAAGGGTAGGTTATTTTTCACCTCTCCTCATTAACTATTGCTATTTTAAAGGCAATATGAATAAAACATATCATATTTCTCTGCCAGAGCCACCTAAAGAAAGATCTTTTGTATTTCTAGGAGCATCAGTTGCTAAGGCGAGTAAGTCAGTGTTAAAAAAAAATTACTTGTAGCGACAGCACCAAAGTAGAAGCCGTCTAATAGCAAGAAATAACTATGGAGGGTGATGTGGTGGCTCAGTGGTTAGCTCTGCTGCCTCACAGCACCAGGGTCACGGGTTCAATTCCAACCTTGGGCAACTGTCTATGTGGAGTTTGCACATTCTCCCTATGTTGCAAGTTTGCTCCAGTTTCCTCCCACAGTCCAAAGATGTGCAGATTAGGTGGGTTGGCTATGCTAAATTGCCCATAGTGTCTAGGGTGGGAAATGCAGGGATAGGGTAGGGGGTAGGGGGTAGGATGCTGTTCAGTGAGTTGGTATGGACTGAATGGCCTGCTTCCACACTGTAGGAATTCTATGAAGGTAAGGTAACTTACGTCTCAACTGAAAACTTTACATTGGCAAGTATACCAAATGGTTTGATTTTAATCACCTTGGTTATAGCACAAAATATCTTTTCCAGTTTGGACTATGTGGTTGATGATTGCTAATTGAGGTTAAAGTGCAACACTTGATAATGTTAAAGACTCATTGCATCATGTGCAATACTTTAATTCCTTAGAAGCATTCCTGTGCATATATTTGCTCTAGTGTTAACAGGAAAAGGTGGGATGGGGTAATGAAAAGCAAATTTCTCACGACAAGAGAAAAAGCAAAACTACAAACTTATCTCCTGGAAATGTTGTAGTATTTCATGAAAATTAGTTTGAAAATATCACTAATAGTCTTAAAAGCTAATAAGCAATAGAGTTAGAAACTTAACACAAAGAAAAAAATGCCAATGCACTTACAGATGCAAGCACAGGGCTAACACACATCTGTGTAAAAAGAAAACATCATATTTAAGAGAACACCAACTTATACCATTGAAAGAGCAAGTGTCAGTTTGCTTGGCATTGAATAAGGCGAATAAATAAGGTACATTAGAAACATCTTATTTTGGTACTTTTTTCCACATGAAGCTGCACTTTTTTTCAAAATTCACCAAAGTAGTACAAGCTGAACTTTAAGAGACAATATCAGAAAGCATGGAGTAATGCAAATATTGTTTTGGGAGGGACTTGCATTACCTTGTTTAATTCTTCTTGGTTTAGAAAAGATGAGAGTTTTCTTCGAAATTTTCCTTCTTTGTATTTTTGAGTGATGAATTCAAGACGATAGTTTGGTGGTGCATCCATATCCAATTCTTCACCCGCTTTGAGATTGGCTGCCCAAAAGGCATTGGCTATTTTGTTTCCTACAACAATGAAAAGCTGCAAATCAAGCAAAAGGCACAGCTATTAAAAAAAAACATTGGCACCAGTACTTTTTGGCACAAATATGTCAATTTGCTTTCGACTTCAAAATTCAACTTTTTGTTTATAAAACACTTTGGGCAGAATTTTTGTTTAACCCGAGGTGAGTAATTTGAGTATATAAATTTTGCAGCTCGCTGCTCCTGCCTTGGGACAAGTGTACGGAATGGCACAATCCATATTCCAGGGTGGGGTGGAGGGAATGTGATCGGAGTTGGCAATGCTGCCTCTTGTCGCAGATCCAAGGTGACTGCAGGAGTTGACAAGTACTGAGATAATTTATCTTAAAGGTCTCAGTTGTCTCATGTTTTCTGAGGCGTCTTTCGTTGGAGGGAACGATGGCTCAGTAGTTAATGCTGCTGCCTCACAGTGCCAGGGACCTGGATTTGATTCCAGCCTCAGGTGACAGTTTGTGCAGAGTTTCTCATGTCTGTGTGGGTTTTTGCCAGGTGCTGACGTTTCCTCCCACAGTCCAAAGACGTGCAGATTCGGTAGATTGGTTATGGCAAATGTGGGTTTACAGGGATAGAGTGGGATGCTGTTTCGGGGGTCAGTGCTGAATGGCCTCTTTCTGCATTGTAAGGTTTCTACGATGTTTCTAGTTATTCTTTCATACATTAGGCCCTCTAGCCCTAACCCTCCATACTGCAGCATAATCTCTTAGGATCCCTTATGTATTCCAGGCCAAATCATGCTCCCCAACTACCACCATTTGTCATAAGCTATCCATGCCTACTCACATACTATCACCCACCATGGGCAGATGTCTGGAGCCATGTGGAGATGAAATAAAATTAAAATCTAAATATTTATCATACTTTTCAGTATAATAAACAACTACTCCCATTCATAAAGGCCTATTCAAAATTAAAAAAAAACCTCAAGTAGTTAAGCCGCGATGAAAATAAATACAGTTGCATTCACCACTCATGTCAGAGTAATTAAAATGGTGAACTTACATTCCAACCACTCTCCCCCCAGAACAATGGGAAAATTGTAGATTGTGAAAAGCAGGCAATCATTAATAATTATACAATAACCATCCTTGAACAAATGTCAGTGAATGGCTTTTGTAACTACTACAGCAAATTTTTTTCAACTGTCATTGACAGTGTTATCAGCAGGTATAAATTGGCTTCCCCCTTTTTAACCCCATCAAGTGATCACAAAGAAAATTTTAATATTATTATTAGCACACAACAATTTCACACCTTTATTGATTTATTGTTTGCTAGGCCAAAATTATGGCACCATTTACAAGGTTTACAATTTTATTGCCAACTAACGCTGATAAAATAAAGCATTGCATTTGTATAATAATTTGCAAGTATCTGGCGTAAAAGGTTGCCTGCAACCATTCAGCTTGAAAAGACAATCAAGCCAAACTCAGGTGTGCACAAATGAACAATATTTCAGAAACTACTTAGCAGAATGGCAGAGAGAAAGAAAAATTGATTCGTAATGACAAGAACTGAAAGATATTCTTCTAGTTTCTGCCACATCATCTCGAAAGCCAGCACTGAAGATACAGCAGATTAGAGACATTCATTTGCCTAGAGCTTAAGAATTGTACAAATTTTGTTCCTGCTAAGGACACAAGACATCAACTAACCAGCTGTGGTCTCAGCTTTAAATAAAACAAATTGATTCTAAGAACTATTGAAACTGCATATTTTTACCTTCCTGTTATACGTTGCGCAAAAATTTTATATGTGTTTATGTACATGTTAGATAACACAGATATAAAATTTTTGCGCAACGTATAATAGAAAGATAAAAATATGCAGTTTCAATAGTTCTTAGAATCAATTTGTTTTATTTAAAGCTGAGACCATAGTTGGTTAGTTGATGTCTTGTGTCCTTAGCAGGAACAAAATTTATACAATTCTTAAGCTCTAGGCAAATGAATGTCTCTAATCTGCTGTATTTTCAGTGCTGGCTTTCGAGATGACGCGGCAGAAACTAGGAAAATATCTCTCAGTTCTTGACATTACAAATCAATTTTTCTTTCTCTCTGCCGTTCTGCTAAGCAGTTACTGACATATTGTTCATTTGTGCACACCTGAGTCTGGCTTGATTGTCTTTTCAAGCTGTATGGTTGCAGGCAAACTTTTATGCCAAATATTTGCAAATTATTGTACAAATGCAAATGAAAACAAGACATCAGAGTTTCTTGACTCCCAACTCAATTGACTGATTTCAATGTGTTTAGAAAGAATAATAATTTAGTTCAAACAGTTCTACCTACAGCACATGGACTACACCAGTGCAAAGTGGCAGCTCACCACCACCTTTACAAGGGCAACTAGGGACGGGCAATAAATGTTGACCCATGATGCCTACATCCCAAGAATGAATAAAAAAAGTGATTTAATCCATATTGGTTTCCTGAATTTGCCTCAATCTGTGATCATTGCAACTATTCTAGGTCCATGTTTCTTCTCTTTTAAAAATCATAGCAATCCATTAAGATCTTGTGTACTGAAATTAGATAACAGAAATTAAAAATTGACAGTCCCGTGTCTACCACTCTCATAACAAAAGGCAGGCTAGTTTTTATTCCACTTCCTAAAGCATTGAGGAGTCAAATAAGATCACAACTTGATAGTTCTACAGTTCTACATATCCCTCATGCCCTTTAGATCTCAAACACTGCTGGATAAGGCCCGTGGGATTTGTCTCAACTCAGCACAGAGTTCAAATGACCAGGCTGAGTTTGGCTTTCCCTAATGTGTCAGACACACCCCATTCCATTTTCTCAACCTAAAAAATGGGATCTGTAAAATGTGCACGTGAGGCTTCTGGATTTGTGTTCTATCCTCTATTTCTAAAGTTCGACAAAGTCTCCACAATGCTTTGAACATCCAGCAATTTTCCTGAAAATATTATGGAGCTAAAGTAACAAATTATAGCCGGTCTACAAGAATTAGATTGCAACTCTGCAAGCTCTTTCCACATTGTACATTGTTAATGTTTTGAAGTGAAATAGATCCCATTTATGAGTCACAAAACCAACATGATTGCAGGCTGAGGTAAAACGTGACAATAATCAGTGAGTCATGGGACATACTGTGACTATAAATTTATCATCATTAAAACATAGCATGACTTATTAAGTGCTTCTTGGGCACTACTAGACACTTTCTTTCTAGTTAAATCTACAATAGTCACCTTCAGTGGTCTATTATTACCATTTTGTCTCTCTAAAGTATACAATCTAATTATCACGCTAACTACTTGGTCAGAGTGAATATGTAACCATCTTAGTGAACAGACTGCAGAATGGTGTCAAAGGAACTCATGATCAATTGGGAGGGATGAGTAACATTATGCCAGTAGGCTTCTTAATATTTCATAAAGACTGCATTACGAACCCCAGAAACTTTCTAACGGTTCGATTTACTTTTTCCCAAATGTGGAAATTATGCTCAGGAAGCACATCTGTGAATCATGGTAAAACATGACACAGGCAACAGAATGAAAATCAATTACTATCAGTCATTGACACACTCAAGTAAGTATTGAATTTACGTAGAATGCTGAATATATCAATGTATTTTGGGAAATAGCATCCAAGTCAACAGCTATAAGTTGCAGTGGTAAAGACTAACAGAGGGTCAAAACACAAACTAAAAACCAAGGTTAGTGCGATTATAAAACACCGCAGTTAGCCAATTGCTGAAAAGATATTACTGGCCTTTGACAAGTTGCAGAGATAAGGCCAGACCCTACTGCAATCTTAGATTGTCAAGAATGAGTAAAGAAGTTGCATCTGCAAAAAAGGGAAAGAGATTGTAACAGAATCAGCAAAATGAGGAAGCTGGTAACTAAGATCATCAATATTTCAGAGATCACAAAAATCACCAAGATCACAGGAATCACAAAGATCACTGAAACCTCTGTGTGTTCAAGCAACCTCAAGCCCAACATTGGACATTCTAAATAAAAACCAAAAGAACTGTGGATGCTGTAAATCAGGAACAGAAAACAAAGTTGCTGGAAAAGCTCAGCAGGTCTGGCAGCATCTGTGGAGGAGAAAACAGAGTTAACGTTTCGGGTCCGGTTCTGAGGAAGGGTCACCGGACCGGAAACATTAACTCTGTTTTCTCCTCCCCAGATGCTGCCAGACCTGCTGAGCTTTTCCAGCAACTTTGTTTTGTATTGGACTTTCTAAATTGACACACAGCCAGAGAAATCAGCCCTGACAGAAAATTCATCAAACTAAATTAAATAGCAGCCAGCAGCTATCGGTTACAGAGAGACAGTGGTAATGAAGGTTAAAGAGGTTACAAAGGTTCAAGGGGAACAATTCACAATCAACCTGAGAGCTATAGAGTGAAGTGTTGATCAGACATTCTGGCATCTTGACTGCCTGAGTATCTGCACCTTCTATCTCCCGGCATGGCAACTATGAAGAGTGTGGGTGCAACTGCATTGGATGATCTGAACCCAGCTCATGACTTCATTGGCTAAAGGTCACTGAATATTCTGGAAGATAATGGACGAGGGTGGATAAGAACACACACTTAGACACCACGCCATCTATGAAGGCTCAGTGAAGATCCAGTGAAGACACAGTGATAACTTAACGAAGACTCTCAGGGAAGACTTATGAGAAAACAGTGCAGCAATCCAAGAAGACCCAGGAGGAGATCTGCCCTGACTAGCAAGACCCACCTTCATGGAAGACAGCCAGTCCTACATCAGAGAGGAAGGAGATTCTAATGACTTAGCTCAAACATGTGGATTTTTGCAGGTAATGTCCCTTCTCAGACTGATAGAGCGAGATAGAGAGTAAAAATTCTGGAATTTGGGAAATGCTCACATGATGTTTTAATAAGGAATATTTTGTTAATAAAATTGAGTTGAAACACAAACTGAATTCTGTATCCCTTTGTTCATCTCACCAACAAGTATGTATGGCTAAGTGTTTTTAATATATAAGCAGGTTGAAATACGCAAAGTACAGACAACATCAGGAAACATAAAGATAACTAGGACCTCAGGGACTGCAAAAATCATCAAGAACGGAGGGATCACTGACATCACCAAGACCTCAGGGATGATAAATATCACCAAGACAATAGTGATCACAATGATCACTAAGACAATAGGGATCATAAAGATCACCAAGATCATTCAAATCACAAAAATCACAGAGATCACCAAGACCATAGAGATCATGAAGATTACTAAGAGTACCCATGTCCTGTGAAGAACTCATCTGGCCTCAGTTCATCTACCACTGAACTTTTATACCTTGCTATTTTCCTTTACAATTAGACATGACTATTTCAATGCACTCTTGGCTAGCCCTCATGTGTTATTCTCTATAAATCTGAGGTCAGAATATATTCTACTCATAACTTAAGTCCTAAGTTATGAGTCCTAACTCATATCTTAAGCACTGTCCCCTATCACCACTCACCTACATTAGCTCCCAGTTAGCAATGTCTCAAGTTTAAAATTCACATTTGAAAATATAATTCTTATTTATGAGTTCCTCCACGGTCAGGCCCCGACTCCACCACTATAAACTCCCCCAGTTCTGGAACTTGGCAGAGCGGAGTACTGTTTCATCAGTGTTGGAAGGGCAATAAGTGGCGACCAGCAAGAGATTTTATCTTCCATGTTATGAAACCTCATGCTCAGAGAAGGTACTGAATTCCAATTTCCCAAACCTTAAAATCAGAAAAATTGGTTGAATTTACACAAGAGATGATGACACAGCTTGAAAGCTGTTTCATTAGGATAGGAGATGAAGAGTGACATGCCTGCAGAAGAATCAGCTTGTCTCTACTCTGTTTGACACAATAAGGCAGCATTACCATGAAGGTGGTTGGTTCAAAGTTCTGAAGAAGGGTCATTGGACCTGAAACGTTAATTCTGTTTTGTCTCCGCAGATGCTACCTGGCATGGTGAAATTCTCCATTTGTTTTTGTACTGTGAAGATGCTCAGTTCATATTGGCCGTTGGCTGATGTTTCGGTGATGGGAAAGGGAAAATACCCTCAAGCTTTCGCAAAGTGGTACTTGTGCCATTTCTTGGATTTTCCCAATGAGAACTTTTGGGGCTGTATAATTCCTGATATTAGGAAACCATACATTTAAGAAGACTGGTACTTATTTGGTATTTGATTGTCTCATAATCCCCAATATATTTCAATTTGTTTTATTTTAATGTACATAAACTCGTGCAAGGCACTGAAACAAATTTGTATCAGTCTAATTTGTCAGTTTCTGAACAAAAAGGAGGTTGCAGGATGTAACATGAAGTTAACATGATTTAGAACAACTAAAAATAAGTGGGCAAGTTGGTCAAAATGCACTTGATCTTTTCCAAACAATTCTCCTGGTCCCAATTAAACTATAAAAAGATGTTTTTTAGAAGAATACATTTGTTATTGTGAGATGGTTTCTTACCTCAACAAGTTCGTTACTCCAAATACTGGTATCCAACTTCAAACTACGAATTTTGGAAATATTAGAACCCAGTGATCGATGTTGACCTGGTTTTATTCAAACACAAATATAAATACATGTTATTATTTACTCATTCAGATTGACAAAAAAAAAGCAAGAAGATATTTTTTCCAATTTGTTAGTTTTGAATTTCAGTTTTCATAATTCATGACAAAAACTCTTTATTGGTATTAACTTTTCTATATTTTGAGAGCGAGTTTGCTTATATATAAGGCTGCATTTAATTAATTTCCTAATCTCCACAAGAGCAAATATCTTTCAATTTCAAATCTGAAGAAAGTTATGCTTTTGATCAACAAAAAAAAAATTTCATGCACTTTTAATGCACATAATGGGTTTTCTTTGTTCATTCATAGGACGTGGGTACTGTTGGCTGTGCCAACATTTAATGTCTATTTTTAGTTACCCTCGAGAAGGTGGTGATGAGCTGCAATTACCTGGTGTTAGTAGTCCCATAATTCTGTTAGGGAGGGAGCTTCAGGAGTTTGATCCAGAAACACAGAAGGAACAGTGCTATATCTCCAACTCAGGATGGTGTCTGGCTTAGAAGGGAAATTGGAGGTGATCATTTTCACATATGTGCTGGCATTGCTGTTCTACATGGAAGTGGTTGTGGGTTTGGAAGATGCTGTCTAAGGAGCTACCACTACTGCTGAGTGTCAGTGATCAGTGGGGGAATGAATATTTGTGGAACTGGTGCCAATCAAGTAGATTACTTTTGGCTGGGTGGTATCAAGCTTCTTTATTTTATTCATCCACAGGATGTGAACATCTCTGGCTAGGCCAGCATTTATTGCCTATCTCTAATTGCCCACAGGGCAAATAAGAGTCACCCATATCACTGTGGATCTGGAATCACACATAGGCCAGAACAGGTAAGGATGGCAGTTACCATTCCTAAAGGGTATTAGTAAATTTGACGGTTTTTTTTTCAACAAATGACAATGATTTCATGGTCATCAGTACAGTCTTCTTTCCATCATCTGCCAAAGTGGGATTTGAACCCAGATCTCCAGAACATGATGTGGGTCGCTGGATTAACATTCAAGTGATAATAGCACGAGGACATCCCTCCACCCCCGCTAAAATGGTGATGCAGCTGCACTCATCCAGCAAGTGCCAAATATTCCATCACAGTCCTGACTTGCTCCATACAGATATTGGACAGGATTTGTGGAGTCATTTGGTGAGTTACTCACTGCAAGATTCCTAGTCTCTGGTCTGTTCCTGTAGCCACAGTATTTATATATGGCGAGGCTAGTTCAGTTTCTAGTCATTGGTAACCTCTAGAATGTCAATAATGGGGATTCAGTTATGGCAATGCCATTGAATCATGGGCAATGATTAGATTCTCTCATGTTGGAGTTGGTCACTGCACTTGTGCAGCACAAATGTTAATTGCCAATTGTCATATCATCCAGATCTTGCTGCATTTGTAGATAAACTGTTTCAATATGTGAGGTGTTGCAAATGGTGTTAAGCATTAGGCAATTATTTGTTTCGTTAGAAATTGTTCCTGCCATTCAAGTCACTAAATGTTCGAGGAGTTAACTTGATTTTTCTTTCAACAAATAAATGAAATTGGATGTTCCAACTTCATTAGAAAAACAATCCTCATGTCCAGGCACATTATTCAATTTGTCAAGCCACCGTACAGTTATTGGCAGCAGATTTGCAGCACGGTGGCTCAGTGGTTAGCACTGCTGCCTCACAGCGCCACGGACCCGGGTTCGATTCCACCCTCGGGTGACTGTATGTGTGGAGCTTGCACATTCTCCCCGTGTCTGCGTGGGCTTCCTCCATGTGCTCTGGTTTCCTCACACAGTCCAAAGATCTGCATGCTAGGTGGATTGGCCACGCTAAATTGCCCATAGTGTTCAGGGCTGTGTAGGTTAGGGTTTGGGTCTGGGTGGGATGTTCTGAGGGTCGGTGTGGACTTGTTGGGCCAAAGGGCCTGTTTCCACACTGTAGGCATTCTATGATGAGGTTTATGAATAGGATAAATCTGATACTTTTTGTATGCATGTTTTTTGTGTGTTTGCTATAAGTTACAGTTTATTTTTGGGATGTTTTAAATTGGACACAAAGCATTGAAACACTGGCTATATGATTGACGTCTGTGTTATCTGAATTTGGCTGTGACAATGCTTTTGGTGGAATATGATTGGAAAGAAAAGATGAAATTTCAGAAAATGTTTTTTTATATTTGATGAACAAAAATGAAGAATAACTTATTTGGAAAGGGGAAAAGTACTAACAACTGAAAAATGTTACTAACGTTAGGCCTCGATCGTCACAATATAAACTAAAGGCTCAACAGCATGACAGGCATTCTGAGGCAATTTGGATGCTTTGACTAACCAAAACAAGCCAGTCAGGTTACAGCTCAAGCTTTCAGAAAAGATCCTTTCAAAATTAGAAACTCAAAATCTTCCATCAACACGTATAATCATACAATCTAACTTTTTAAAAAAATTGACATGAAAAATCTATACAAACAGGACAAGGGGAATTTGCATAATTTCTTCAATTAGTGCAATTGTTGGACTCTCAGTTTGAATCTGGGATTCTGACCAGCTTTATGTGTGAGGGCTGATCTGATGAACTGAATTGTGAACCAGTGATGAAGACTGCACAACAGAAGAGTGTAAGTGGCTTTGGATGGAACTAACTTGCAGTCCCCAATTGTTGCACATGCTCAGCCAATTTTGCTAATATCACTGATATTACTGGCAGAAATTCTACTGTTTTATCATCAGGTCACTCGTCATCCATTCATTTAGGATTCAGATGAGTTTGCAATGAATTAGCAATAATCCATTGTGAGCACATTCAAGGAAATCCCTAGCAAATATATTTGCCTGACCAAATTTGACTTTTTTTTGTCACTCATTGGACGTGGTGTCATGGGTTGATCAGCATTTATTGCTCATCCCTAGTTGCCTTTGAGAAGGTGGTGGTGAACTGTTTTTTCAAACTGCTGCAGTCCACGTGCTATAGGCAGACCCACAATGCCCTTAGGGAGGGAATTCTGGGATTTTGACTCAAGTGAAGGGTATTCCATCAAGGTCCCAACTTGTGCCTTGACGATGGTGGACAAGTCTTGGGGAGTCAAGAGGTGAGTTACTCACGACAAGATTCCCAACCTCTGATCTGTTCTTGATGCACAGTATTCATAAGGCTGATCTAGCTCAGTTTCTGGTGAATGGCAGCCATCATAATGTTGATAGTGAGGAATTAGGTGATGGCAGTACCTTTAAACGTCAAGGAGAAATGTCAGGTTCTCTCGTGTTAGAGACAGTCACTGCCCAACCCTTGTGTGGCACAAATGTTAGTTGTCACTTATTAACGCAAACCTCAATGTTTTACTGCACATGAGGACTACTTCTGTATCCCTGAGGAGTTGTGAATGATGCTGGGAATTACGTAATGATCAGCTAACATCCCCGATTCTGACATCACAAAGGTGGATTGAGGATAACTACAATATTTTCTAGTAGCTGATAAGAAGTTATCCACAAAGAAAGGAATCTCCAAGTCCAAAGTGGCTCCTGTTAAGTTTCAACATATAGGATCTATTTAGCTGGCAACTTCAGCCGTCTGAAGCACACACTAGCTAATTCATAGACACAGAAGACAGCATACTGAAGGGTTAGTAAATGCCAGCAAACTTGAATACCTACAAAAGCACAAAAGAAGACATTATGATTTGTGCAGCTTCCCTTTATCTTCTTTCCTTACCTGCACATTTTTTGCAGATGACAACACCGAGATTGATGGATGCCCATTCAGGATCTGGTGCACGGCAATCTGCGCAGTTTCTGTTAGACTCGTTGAACCAGATCTTCTCTGCCACTTCATAATCTGACAGGCTTTCTGCTATCGATCCTTGCATAGCTTCAATCCATTCTTGTTTCTCGCGTTCAGATTCCGCTGTGAAGCTGAAATATTGATTTTTCCATTTCATTTTTAATTATCTAGACTAATAGTACAATGCCATATTACTCTCACTGTATAAAAAAACTGGGAAAAGTAATACCTATTTTACACTGGCAGTATTTTATAACCGACATGCTATCGTAAAACAATATATGCACCATTTATAACATGAACATTCCATAAGTATTTATAAAGCTGTCGTAAATATTTAGGTACTAGTTACCTGGGATGTTAAAAGCATTTCAATTGCACTCTCTCCACCTCTTAGTACTTGAAAGAACTTAAACAAAAAGCTACTATTCCCTAAAATACTGCTTCCCATGTAATAATTCAAAAATATTCATTGAAATATCTTTCTGAGTAAAATTATTATGAAGGTTCTGGCATAGTAGATTATTACTTTCCGACTTTTCTTACTCTAGATTATTTCAGCTTTCATATTTTAAAGGGCACTCTCATGAGCAAGTTCTAATTCCCTACCTTTCGTTTTGAGGTTATCTTACACTGCTTAAGTTCCAGGTAAGCTTTTGGTAACAATTATAAAGTCATAGAATCACACAGCATGGAAACAGACCCTTCAGTTCAACTCGTCCATGCCGACCAAATTTCCCAAACTAAACTAGTCCCACTTGCCTGCGTTTGGCCCATATCCCCATAAACCTTTTCTATTCATGTACTTATCCATATGTCTTCTTAGTTAATGTTTCACGATGAAAACAAGTTGTTTAAAATGATGAACAAGCACATAATAGAACTGTATTTTTTCTCTAAATCTTTTTGCAAGAGAAAGTCACTTACCTTTGGGTACAGAAACTAGAAAAAAATCATCACAGGTAATGCTGTGGGGGCCCAAGTTCAAATCCCACCATGGAAGATGATGAAAATGTAATCAAAAGAAAGCTAACATCAAGGCCTTAATGAAGATCATGAAACCATTGTCAACTGTTTTAGAAACTCATTTGATTCACTAATATCCTTTAGGGAAGGAAAATGCCCATGTGACCTGCAATAATGCGCTGATTTGTAATTGAAATGCCAAAGTATCAACCACTGAAAAGTCTCACAAAAGGAAATAAAAACGATAGACCACCTGACATTCACTCATGTACTAGAAATCACAAGTAATGCACCCCAGCTCATATGGTAATGTTGCGTAACTAGCATCTGCTCCAAAATTGGGAGCAATGTCCCTCAGACTATCAAGAAATATCCTGATATAGTTAAATTCTCAGAATCATACCTTACACGAATGTAGCAGGCTACCCCAACTTAGCATTTTATAAGTATGTTAAGAGTAAGACTGTTACCATGTAATGAGGGGGTAATCTGTGCGCGGAACCAGAGAACATGGCTGAGGTCTTAAATAAATACTTTGCATCTGTATTCACAAAGCAGAAATACACTGTTGCTGTGGTTTTTAGTTGGGATGGCAAGGAACATGTTAAGATTAATAAGGAGGAGGAATTAGATGTTTTAGTGGGCACAAAGGTACATAAATCCTCAGGGCTTGATAAGGTGCATTCCAGGATACCATGAGTAGCCAGGGAGGAGATTGCTGGGGCCCCAGCAGATATATTTAATACTTCATAAAAGCAGAAAGAAATGCAGATCTTGTAAATCAGAGAAAAAAAAATAGAAATTGCTGGAAAAGCTCAGCAGGGCTGGCAACATCTGTGGAGAGAAATCAGAGTTAATGTTTTGGATCAAGCCCCAGGTGGAGTGCCACATGACTGGAGAATAGCTAATGTGGTTCCTTTTGTTCAAGAGGGCAGCAGGAATAGGCCAGTTAATTACAGACCAGTTAGTCTGACAACTGTGGATGGAGAAATTATTGGAAAAACAAATGACGGACACGATTAATCAACACTTGGAAAGGCAGGGATTGATCAGGGATCATCAGCATAGATTTACTTGAGGAAGATCCCGTCTGATTAATTTAATTGTTTGCTTTTTTGAAAATGTGACTAAATGTATTGATGAGGCTAGTGCAATTGATGTGGTTTGCATGGGCTTCAGTAAGGCCTTCGACAAGATCTCACATGGAAGTTGATCCAAAAGGTAAGAGCCCATGGGATCCAAGACCAGTTGGCAAAGTGGATCCACAATTGGCTTGCAGATAGGAGGCAAAGGGTGATGGTGCAGAGTTGTTTTTGTGATTAGAAGCCTATGGTCAGCGGTGTACAGCAGTGATCAGCGATGGGTCAATCAAGGTGTAATCTGTGTTCTAGGACCCCTAGTTCCACAGCAAAAAAACCACCAGAGATGACCATGATGCACTTAGGAGACAAGCTCCACATTATGGAGTTGACCCTTTTGTCCTTTGGGAAACCAGAGACAGATGATAAATGGTCCTTTATTGGCGAAATCCACATCCTATGGAATATATATTTACCAGGTACAGCATTCTTTAAGTCCCTATTTTAGTAACTGACTGATGCTATGTTTTAGAAATTACACAAATTGACACATTTAGGTGGCTTTATATCCATAAATTTGCTGCATCTAGCACATTGGAAATTATGACAGAAATCTGTAGTAAGGGAGTTCCATTATCATTAGAGATAGTAGGAACTGCAGGTGCTGGAGAATCCGAGACAACAAGGTGCAGGGCTGGATGAACACAGCAGGCCAAGCAGCATCATAGGAGCAGAGAGGCTGACGTTTCGGGCCTAGACCCTTCATCAGAAAAGGGGGAGGGGAAGGGGGTTTTGAAATAAATAGGGAGAGAGTGGGAGGCGGATAGAAGAGGGATAGAGGAGAGGATAGGTGGAGAGGAAACAAACAGGTCGAAGAGGCGGGGATGGAGCCAGTAAAGGTGAGTGTAGGTAGGGAGTTAGGAAGGGGATAGGTCAGTCCAGGGATGACGGACAGGTCAAGGGGGCGGGATGAGGTTGGTCGGTAGGAGATGGAGGTGCGGCTTGAGGTGGGAGGAGGGGATAGGTGGGAGGAAGAACAGGTTAGGGAGGCAGGGACGAGCTGGACTGGTTTTGGGATGCGGTAGGGGGAGGGGAGATTTTGAAACTTGTGAAATCCACATTGATACCATTGGGCTGCAGGGTTCCCAAGCGGAATATGAGTTGCTGTTCCTGCAACCTTCGGGTGGCATCGTTGTGGCACTGCAGGAGGCCCAGGATGGACATGTCGTCTGAGGAATGGGAGGGGGAGTTGAAATGGTTCGCGACTGGGAGGTGCAGTTGTTTATTGCGAACCGAGCGTAGGTGTTCTGCAAAGCGGTCCCTGAGCCTCCGCTTGGTTTCCCCAATGTAGAGGAAGCCACACCGGGTACAGCGGATGCAATATACCACATTGGCAGATGTGCAGGTGAACATCTGCTTGATGTGGAAAGTCTTCTTGGGGCCTGGGATGGGGGTGAGGGAGGAGGTATGGGGGCAGGTGTAGCACTTCCTGCGGTTGCAGGGAAAAGTGCCGGGTGTGGTGGAGCTGGAGGGGAGTGTGGAGCGGACAAGGGAGTCACGGAGAGAGTTGTCTCTCCGGAAAGCAGATAAGGGTGGGGAGGGAAAGATGTCTTTGGTGGTGGGGTCGGATTGCAGATGGCAGAAGTGTCGGAGGATGATGCGTTGGATCCGGAGGTTGGTGGGGTGGTACGTGAGGACGAGGGGCATTCTTTTTTGGTTCTTATTGCGTGGACGGGGTGTGAGGGATGAGGTGCGGGAGATGTGGGAGACACGGTTGAAGGCGTTCTCGACCACCGAGGAGGGGAAGTTACGGTCCTTGAAAAACGAGGACAACTGAGATGTACGGGAGTGGAATGCCTCATCCTGGGAGCAGATGCGGCGGAGGCGAAGGAATTGGGAATAGGGGATAGCATTTTTGCAGGAAGGTGGGTGGGAGGAGGAGTATTCTAGGTAGCTGTGGGAGTCGGTGGGCTTGAAATGAATATCGGTTTCTAGGTGGTTGCCCGATATGGAGACAGAGAGGTCCAGGAAGGGGAGAGAGGTGTTAGAGATGGTCCAGGTAAACTTAAGGTTGGGGTGGAAGGTGTTAGTGAAGTGTATGAACTGTTCGAGCTCCTCGTGGGAGCACGAGGCGGCGCTGATACAGTCATTATCATTACATACATTATGGAGCCCAATAGAATTGTTGAACCTTTGGGCACAGCTTTCAAGAGTAGTTGTTGTGAAGGCAATACATTTCCAAAATCAACTGTGCCATTGAGCATGTTTAGTGCGTTAATTAAGCAGTCCCACAGTTCCTCAGATTTTTAAATTTTATTCTAATGATCTGTCGTTGAGATGCTGAGTGTGTAGTTAATATTCACTATAGATCACCTCCCGCTTCTTTTCTTAAAGATATAAATTCAGGAAATTCAATAGGTTTTTAAGTGTAAAATCTGTATAAAATATGTATGTATGTGTAATCTGTACAAAGTACAACTAATGTGTTGTATAATAGATCTGTATTTTTGCCGTATGCAGAATTGTATAACAAAATGCAATTTGGTCCAAAGTAGAGTTTAAGGAGAGAAGATCATACATTATGTAATTCATACACTCATTTAAAAGAAAACAGCTTGCCGACACTACAAAACAGTCCATTTTTTTTAGCAACCATTTGTTCTAGTCCCAACATAAGTCAATAAAGCTAAGTCATTAAAGAAATAGGACAACTAAATGCTGCAAGAAAGGTTAGTTCTATGTGGCTTTCAAAATCATACTTTCCTGCACGTACAAAGGTAAAGTAGAAGATTATTCACAATATCCTGTTCTGGTTTATGCTCTTGAAATTACAGGCAATTTTTATCAACCTTACAGAGTTGCACAATTATGGTTGTGCTACCATTGGCACAGAAACTCCAAAGCCCATGGTGCACATTACTCTGACAGCAAATAGAATACAAGTGTCACACAACCCCCTCACGTATTTATTTTTATAAATGTATCAAACATGTTTTTATACACAGCTCTTGAACTTCACTGCTTTGGGAGTTCTTACCCATTTTAGCTGCTGTTAATTTATTTTTCCTCCTGAAATAATTATATCGCACCGACTTCCAATGGTGAATAAAAAAATGCATTACTGTTATTGTAATTTGATGGATACTTCTCCCCCAGTATTGATGTAAAATGCTGCAGAAATCCAAATAAATAAACTGACTGATGTGTTTTTAGCTGTGTGGAATGGTGTAGTTATAATTACTTAGACCATAAGATATCGGAGCAGAATTAGGCCTTTCAGTCCAACAAGTCTGCTCCACCATTCGATCATGGCTGATATATTTCTCAATCCTTTTCTCCTGCTTTCTCCCTGTAAACCATTATTTCCTTATTAATCAAAAACCTATCTCTGTCCTAAATACACTCAATGACTTGACCTCTACAGCCCTCTGCAGTAATGAGTTCCACAGATTAACCACTCTCTGGCTGAAGAATTACCTCCTCATCTCAGTTCTAAAGGGTCATCTCTTCACTCTGAGGCTGTGCCCTCAGGTCCTAGTCTCTCCTGATAGTGGGAACATCTTCTCCATATCCAATGTATGAAAGTAATAAGTTAAAATGCACAATTTAGTTCTGCAATCCATTAAGATCTGGCCTAAGACAACTCCAAAACCTCAGCAATGTGATTGTTTATCAATTGCCCCCTGAAACAGCCAATATGTCACTAAGCACAAGGGCAATTAAGGAGCAACAAGAAATGCTGTCCTTGTCAGCAACAGCCACATCCTATTAAAGAATAAAAGGGGTGTCCTTTATAACTACATAATTCTCAAAGCAATACAGTAAAACACACTGTGACCATTAATTTCATTGGACCATATAACAGAGGGACGAAATTGGAGCAACTTTAAAAAGAATTTACCTGAAATTTCGGAATGGAGTAGATAGTTCAAAGCTTTTACGATCAATATCTTTGACTGTTGCCACATTTGTGTTAACCATTGTGATACCAATTCCACCCTTAAAATCCTTTAAAATGAAAGAAAAAGTTAAAATTTCATTTCTAATGTAATCTGATGGCTATCAAGCAGTTGTATAAATATTCATGGATTCCAGTTTTCTAAAGGCATTCATTCAGCATTTATTCAGATGCATCCCATGATTTTTTTTGCAAGTTACATTAAGACATATCACTGATGTTTATATTTACGTTGACCTTTGAAGCCTTCAAAGAAAACAAATTACTCCACGGATAGAGATCAACTTGTATACACATTATAAACATGAAATGCTACTTAATACAGGTGATCACCAGTTTGAAAAGCCATCTTCAACCAATTCACATCCTAAAGTCCCATGAACCTTTTAATGGAGGGGATGGCCCAGTGGTATTATTGCTAGTCTATCAATCCAGAGAAATAGGCAATATTCTGGGGATCTGGATTCAAATCCTGCCATGGCAGGTGGTGGAATTTGAATTCATTAAAAAAAAAATCTGGAATTAAGAGCCTAATGGTGACTATGAAATCATTGCTGACTGTCCAGAAAAACCCATCTGGTTCACTGGTGTCCTTTAGGGAAGGAAATCTGCCATCCTCACCTGGTCAGGCCTACATGTGACTCCAGAGCCACAGCAATGTGGTTGATCCTTAATGAGGGAGGAAGCAAACTTCAGGCAGCACCCCCTTCCTGTCCTATTGTGATGGAGAGAATGAGAATCCTCTTAGACGGAGAGAGAGGCAGGCATTCAGGGAGATGAAAGTGGGCAGCACAGCTGGTTCCTTTGTTGCAGGTAAGGAGTGACTGCATAGGCAGCACAGAGGGCACACAGGGTTAGTGGTATCAGGATTTGAGGCAGGTAACAGCAAGTGAGGGAGAAGGCATTGAATGTGATCGAAGGAGTGACTGAGTCTGAGCCTTGGTGGGTGTTAGGAGTAGTAGAACAGATAGAGTGTGAGGTAGCAGAGAGATTGTGGTGACACTTGAGCTGTTGAAGTGAAGAAGGTCATGGACCTTCTCCCAAAATTTGTAAACATCCTGCCAGACTGAGGCTGCACTGACATGAGTGGCAACCTCGGACAAAGTTGGCATGGTCTAGCTGTTGTGGTCTCCACTGCTGGTCCTGGAGGTAGAGGATGTCCCATCACTGCACCACCTTGTTCAGCAGGACATCCCTTCAGGACCCTGCCCACAAAGCTGAGCACCAAATTCATATTTGCCTGCTACGTCCAGGACAAATGTCAGGATTAAAAAAAAACCATGCAGAAGCTTGGCACCATCCAGGACAAAGCAGCCCGCTTGACGGGCAACGTATCTACAAGCATCCTCTCACTCCACCACTGTTCAGTAGCAGCAGAGTGTCCCATCCCCACGATGCACTGCAGAAATTCACCAAAGATTATTAGTCAGCACCTTCCAAACCCCCGACCACTTCCTGCTGAAAGGACAAGGGCAGCAGATGCGGGGGAACACCACCACCTGCAGGCTCCCTTTCAAGCCACTCATCGTCCTGACTTGGAAATACCTGGTTGTTCCTTCACTGTCACTGAGGTCAACTCCTGGGATTCCCTCCCTCCCCTGTTGGTCTACTTACTGCACATAGACTGCAGCAGTTTAAGAAGGCAGCCCACCACCACCTTCTCAAGGGGAACGAGGGACGGGCAATAAATGCTGGCCCAGCCTGTGACTCCCACATCCCACGAGTGAATAAAAAATAACACTAGAACCTGCAAGTGAGGGTCTGCACCACGTAACAATTAACAGTTGAAAGGTAGCCTATAATTTTGGATTTGTTAGTTGGCAGAGCGATGATCTTTTCTAGATTCCTCTCAAGATGTTATTTTCATCTTTCCTTCGTGCTGTAGAAGACTTCCTGTAGAAGTCAACTCTTAAATATTTACCTCAAAAAACTAGACTCAAAGATTTGACATTTACACAGATTTATATAGCAATTATGTGTTTTTACTAGATCGCATGCGACACTAACAGAAACTGTATGTCTAATGCGAAGAGAACATAAGAAATCGTAGCAGAAGTAGGCCAGAGACCCTCCAGTCTGCCCCACCATCCCACTGTTCAACAAAATCATGCCGACCAATCCCAAATTCCCAGCCATGCTAAAATTCAATTGCCCTTCTTAAGTACTTGTTGCAACTGCATTCTAATGCTTTGTGTTTCCCGAGTCCGATTTTCAAAAGAAGATTTCTCTTTTTTTCTCTCTCTCTCTTTGGCACAACAAATTCCAGAGCGGCAGTTTAACCAGATTTTCATCTAGCAGCTATCAGAGAGGAAGCACCTTCAAGTATAATCATGTGCTCCCTGGATTAATTGCTTTTAGAATTGCCAGGTACAGCAAATACAGTTATCCAGTGTACCAGCTTCTCAAGATCATATAGAGCAGAAAACTATTTGACACTACTTTGTTTTCAAATCAAGTGAACCACTTTGGCTGCATGGAATGGATTGGTTGACCGATGTAGTGAATTATAAAGAACTGGAGTTGACTAAATATTGAGTCTTACCTGCTCACTCTTATACAGCCATATGATGCTGCCTCGCAATACAACAAAGATTCGAGATTTGTAGCCCCTTAGCTCAAGATAACCAAATTTATCAGTTGTAACAGCACATCGAGGATTCAATTGAGAAAATATGTTAGACTGTAATTTTAATGCAGTGAGAAGTGTGTCCATCCAGTCATCTCGATCACCTATCAAAGGAAACCACAGGAATTCAACCAATCTTATCCAATCACAATATTCTAAAGTGCTTGTTTTTACTTTTTGGAATTCATCAATCAGAATACATTTATTTAAAACAAAACTAGGTGGAGATGACAACAGGAATTAAGAAACAAGTGTTCAGTTTCCAGTTTTATACATCAAATTTCTTAACAAACAACAATGACAGTTATAGTTAGAATATGTTGCAGAGATAGTAGGAGCTGGCGATGCTGGAGAATCTGAGATAACAAGGTGTAGAGCTGGATGA